TATATATATATATATAAAACTGAATCCATTTAGTGGTGCTCCTGTCCTGTGTATCTGTGTTTAGGACTGCCCAACTTGGAATTAGATAACCTCTCAAGGGAGCCAGTCCCTGGAGAAAATTGATTCTCTCTCCCTCCTTCAGCATCCATTGATTGCATATAGCTCTTCATCCTGAGTTGGGACCTCTTGAAATTTCTCCAGCCTACCTTGGTATGTCAGCTGGTTTTGTCGTTATGCAGATCTTGTTAGACTATCATACTGTGGAGATTTCATTGCTGTAGCTTCCTTGTCATGTCTAGAATGCTTTAAGTTGCAGCACCTGTCTTGTCCCCCTGGCTCTTACGTTCTTTCTGTCTCCATTTTCACAATGTTTTTTGAGCCTTAGGTGTAAAGGTTGCATTGTAGATGTGTTACTTAGGACTGGGCACCTCACAGACACTTATTCTCTGCATTTGAGCAATTGTGGAACTTCATAATAGTCTCCATCTGTTGCAAAAAGGAACTTCTTTGATGAGTGGTGAGAGGTACACTTGGCTGCAAATATAAAGACACATATTTAGAATATGGTAAGGGATTACGTTGGTCTAGGGAAGTGAGAGAAGTAGACTTTCCTCAGGGTCTATGACCTCTCAAGCCATGTGTACTTGGCTATATTTACAGTACCACACATGATTTCCCTCCCACTGAGTGGGCCTTAAGTCCAATTAGACAGTATTGGCACCAATAGAGTTAGTTTGCTGGGCCAGTCATTGTTGTGGTTCATAGGTTTCATAGCTGGGTGAGATCATTGATTGGTTTTCTTTCTTGGCAGCTTGCATAGTACCTTCCAATACAATGAAAGCTATTTTTCAGGGAGGAGGTTTCCAGGTCACTTCCAGCTCAATTGCTCCAAGTCATGTGCCTGAAGTATATTGTGTCTTCAGCAATACAGTCTTACCTTCAAGTTCTGGAAGGCAATCATAAGTATTTTAACCTAATTGAACCTTGGAAACTTATTTTTTCCAGAAACCTGCATATGCCACTTATGCTTTGATTATTTTCTAGATTCCAAGCTTGCCAGAGAAACAGTTTATATTAACTTTTCCAAGTTAGCAAAAATTCCATGGAGACATGGCTTTCCAAATGTGGCTTAGTGGCAGTTGTCTGTTTGCTTAAACATTACATGTGACCCTGACCTGAACTACTTTCCAAGGGTTTGTGTAGGCTTACTTCTCTTTAAGTATGCTTTATTGTGCAATGAAAGCCATGAATGATACAAGGACCTAATTTGCTTTTCCTGTTGATAGTTAATTCAGTCATAGACTCAAAGAAACACATTTTAAAATGACAGTTCACCCTGCTATTGTATATTGATCCCTTCTGTGTGGAAAGACAAGTCGTTCGAGTCAATGTGCCAAAGTCTAAAAGCATGTGGCAAATTCCTCAAACCAGGCGACTTGAGGTAGATGTTTCTTGCAGCGGAAGAGACTGGGCTGAGGAAGATCAGAACAACGGACAGCTCCATGTCCACAGCCCTTGTACCCATTGTACCCAGTGCCAGAATTCAGCACCCAGGACAGCCACCAAATCATTCTCATTTTGGTCCCAAGAATACAATGTCCCAGTCCTGTTTAGGTGCAATGATGGCCTCTCGACACTGTGCATCCTCTGCATTGGGAACCTGGGAGCGATCCCAGGGCCTGGAAGCCTCAGGTGACAGCGATGGCAGTGTCAGAGAGAGTGGAGTCTGGATAGACAGATGAGGCCAAGGTAGTTGCAAGGCCAGCTTTCTGTCCAGATTGCTTTCTGAAAAGGGACAGCTGCATAGTGACTCAGGAAGCTCACAGTCTCTGAATAGCTCCTGCCTGGATTTTCCTCATCGGGAAAACAACCCCTCACCTCTGTCATCAGCCACTAGCACAGAGCATCAATGGTAAGTAAAGACAGCCATGTTGAACATAATATTTCACAAGAGTTGATCCACTGTTACATGGGAGAAAGGTGTTTTGCCTCCATCTAAGTGCACCCATGCCTGCAGTGCCCACAGAGGCCAAGAGAGGGTATCACATCCCCTGGCACTGGAGTTACTGAAGGTTGTTAGCCACCACGCAGGTGCTGGGAACTGAGCCTGAGTCCTCTGCGAGAGCAATCAGTACTCTTAACCGCTGAGCCATCTCTCTAGCCCCAATTATTTTCTTAGTATTGAACTTTAAAGAGTTCATTTATATTTTGGCAAACTGTTTTGTCAGATGTGACTTTTGGAGATTTCCTTTCAGTCTCTGATTCATTTTCTCATTCGCATGCCATTGTTTTTGCATAACACAAGTTTTGATTTTAATGAAATCCAAGTTATTAATTATTTCTCATGAATTGTACCTCTGATGGTGTATCTAAAAAGCTGATACACCTAAGGTCATCTAGGTTTTCTCCTATGTTACTTTCTGGTTTTATAATTTTGAATTTCACATTTAGGTATATGCCACTTGTGAAAGTTGTAAGATCAGTTTCTGGGAGTCAGTTTTCTCTTTCCATCATGGGTTCCTGGAGTCAGACTCAGGTCATCAAGTGACTTGGTCAGTAAGTGTTTTTAGTGCTGAGCTGTCTCACTGGCCCCAGTACTGATTTCCCTTTTCCTCCCTTTGCTCTCTGTGCACATCACACCTGCAGTTATCTCACAGTCTTGGATACTCTGTTCTGGTCATAGTCTTTCTCTTCCCTTCTCCTCTCTCTCTTTCTTTTCTTATCTCTCTTGCCCTTTCTCCCTTTCTCCCTCCCTTCCTTCCTCCCTCCCTCCCTTCCCGTCTCACTGGCCCCAGTACTGATTTCCCTTTTCCTCCCTTTGCTCTCTGTGCACATCACACCTGCAGTTATCTCACAGTCTTGGATACTCTGTTCTGGTCATAGTCTTTCTCTTCCCTTCTCCTCTCTCTCTTTCTTTTCTTATCTCTCTTGCCCTTTCTCCCTTTCTCCCTCCCTTCCTTCCTCCCTCCCTCCCTTCCCTCCCTCCCTTCCCTGTTTCCTGCCCTCCTCTCTCCCTCCCCTTCTCTGCCCTCTCCCCTCCCACCACCCTCCTTTTTCTTCTTTTGTTCTTGAGATGAGGTCTTACTATGCAGCGTTTAGTGGTTTTTAGTTTTATGTCCTACAGCTGACAGATTCCTTCCTCAGTCATATTCATTCTCACAATGAGTCCTTTGTTTCTGTGTTTCTATCTCTAGCATTTGTGTTTAATTCTTTCTTAGCAGTTCCATCTCCTTACTTATATTGCCATCTGTTCTTTCAGTTGTCTACTTTTTTCATCAGAACTCTCAGCCTATTAGTCACAGTTGTTTTACATTTATGGTCCCAAAATTCCAATATTTCTGCCAACTCTGACAATGATTCTGATATTTGTTTAGTATCTTTGAACTTTGTTTTTGGTCCATTAATATGCCTCGTAATTTTTTGTCAAAATCTGGATATTATGTGTGAGTAAAAAGAATCATTAAATGAGCCTGATGGTAAGGTGTGTGGGGAGGGGAAGTATTCTAGAACCCCATAATTAGTTTCAGTCTTTTGTAAACTTGCACTGCTGGGCTATGAACTTTACCAGTGCTTCTCCATATTTACTTTCTCCCTCCTTGAGTGGACTTTGGAATAATTTCCCTTGTCACACATGGAAGTCTAGCCATTTGGAGTGAGAGTTCTCTTCCTCCTAGGTTAACTGGGCTTTGATAAGGTCCCATCAAGTAAACCTCTTGTTGAATAGTTTCTCCAGAAGGTAGGACTTCTTAGGAAGAACAGAGTTCTCTGGAGAATATAAAATGGTTACTTTGACCCTCTTCCTGCCACAGAAGATTTTCCTAGTAGTTACTGTGAGGAACTAGGAGAGCTATAGGAAATGACTTGTGAAAGTTTGGGAGCTCCTACATGGCTGGGTTCCCTGAAGTGTTTAACTCCCAGACCCACCCACCCTGATCCTCTACCATTCCATTGTGAAGAGTCCTAAGTTTCTTGCTCTGGTCTTTCTTTCTTCAGACGTACCTGCTTGTGGATTTCTGCTCTGAGAAGGTGTGGATTTCTGTCCTGCCTGTGTCTAATTTGAGAGGGGGCAATAATTTTCCTTGTGACCTCTCTTTTGTGACCAATGTAAAGGATTTTTTATTTTTTCAAGTTTATTCAGCCTTTTCCTTGTTGTTAGGATAAAGTGGTTATTTTGAAGTTCTTTACATGCCAAACCAGAACCCGCCTTCTTAGTTCATTTTCCTCTTTCTTCTCTGTTCTTCAGTTTTCTAGGGACCCTAAATAAGACATTTGCTACAGAAATTTCCTAATAATGACCACCTTTTCCCCAAGTCACTTATGGTGTTGACCCATAGGATTGAGGGCACCACTGCCAACTGTGGAGAACTGTATCTTCTTTCAGAGTTATCTTTCATGAGAAATTTGTGTAGGATAAAGAACGTTTCAATACCGTCATAAGGACTGAAAGCTTCTTATGCAATACATATTAGGTCCAAAATGAGAGACTTTCTAGGACTCACTTAGATACATTCTGATTATAACAACTGGCATTTCAAAATGGAATGACTCTTGATAGAATGACAGGTGCTTATAGCCTACAGAGAACTGCCCTGTGAAAGAAATTCACTTTAAGTCAAAGAAGCTATCTAATAGAGCTATGATTTCTTTTCTTTTTTGTTGTTACTGCTTTTTTGAGGCAGGATCTCCCTGTGTGTAGACCAGGCTGACCTAGATTTCACAGAGATCCACCTGCCTCTGCCTCTCACATGCTGGGATTTAAGGTATGTGCCACCACACATCCAACCTGGAGCTTTGATTTTTATATTCCCAGGCATTTTTCTTGCTATCACTCAGTCACAATTTCAGGTCCAAACTTTTTGGTTGGTGAAGAAACTTCTGTCAAGACTGGCTCTCTGAGGACAGTCTTAATGGCATAGAGAGAAAACATTCACTCTGGCTCAGAGAGCATCGGGAGGAAGGCTGATTGGGCCTTATGAACTCATGCTACTCTCTGTAGAGCGAAACTTCTTCATTGCTTAATGTCCTCATCTGTTAGAGATGCTGTGGAGAGTAGTAATTCCCACAATCAATTTTCAAATTAAATCTACAAGAGTACTGGAAGGTGTCCTAATGTTTAACATGTGAAATTAACATATAATTCAGCACATAAATAGACAAAATCAGAAACAATATGATCTTTTTCTCTTTCTTCCTTTTTTTGGTCTTTTTGAGACAGGGTCACTGTGTAGCATCAGCTGGCCTGGAACTCACTGTGTAGACCCCAGTGGCCTCAGTCCCACAGACATCTGCCTGCCTCTGCTTCCTGAGTGCTGGGACTAAAGGTATGCCCCACCATTCCCAACTTCATATGATCACCTCACTGGACATAGAGTCTTCAACAAAGTTCAACATCCCTTCATGACAAAAGCCCTGAAAAAACTATGAAGAGACGGAGCATACTTCCACATATTAGAGACTGCACAGGAAAAAATCCATAACCAAAATTATGCTAAACAAGGAAACACTGAAAGTGTGTCCTCCAAAATCTAGTCTAAGACAAGAGTGCCCATTCTTTCCACTCTTATTCAACACTGTACTCAAAGTCTTACCTAGAGTAAGATAAAGCAAGAAGTGAAAGGGACTCAAGTAGGAAAGGAAGAAGTCAAATTATCCCCGTTTGCAGCAAAGTAGTAGGATACAAAAATGAACATACAAAAGTCAGCAGCTTTACTCTTCTTTTCTCTTTGCTTTTTTTTTCTGATCTTTTTGAAACAGGATCTCCCTGTGTCTTAGTTTGTTTCTTCATTGCTGTGACAAAATACTCTGACCACTACCAACTTGGGGAGGAAAGGGTTCATTTAGCTTACATATCCTGGGTCACAGTTCATCCAGGAGCCCAAGGTAGGAACTCAGGGCAGGAACCTGGAGGCAGGAGCTGGAGCACAGACCATGGAGGAACGCCGCTTACTGGCTTGCTCCCCTGGCCCCTGCTCAGCCTGCTTTCTTATGCAACACAGGCCCACCTGCCCAGGGGTGGCACCACCCACAGTGGGCTGGGCCCTCCCACATCACTCATCAGAAGATGCCCTTCAGACACGGCCACAGGCCAGTCCAATAGAGGCAATTTCCCGATTGAGGCTCCCTCAACCCAGGTGTGTCAAGTTGACCCTAAAGCTATCCAGCACACCCTGTAACCACAGCTATCCTGAAACTCCTCACTAAGTAGACCAGACTGGCCTTGAATTCACAGAGATCTACCTGCCTCTACCTTGAAAGTGCTGGGACTAAAGGTGTGGGCCACTGTGTTTGGCTGGTCAGTAGTTTTTCTATATACCAATAATGCATTTGCTGAGAAAGAAATCAGGAGGAAAAAAATCCCATTTATAATAGCTCTTTAAAAAAAGAAAAAGAAAAACACTTAGGAACAAACCCAATAAATAGGGTATAAGATTTTTACAATGAAAAAATTAAAGACATTAGAAGATAGAAAGATGTTGTATGATCATAAAAAAGCAAAATCAATACTGCAAAAGGGTTTTATTACTGAAAGCATTCTCTATAGCCAATGCAATTCCCATCAAAATTCCATGGGCATTCTTCACAAGACTAGAAAAAAATTCACATGGAAGCACAAAAAACCCTGAATAGCTGCAGCAGTCCTTGGCAGACAGCAATGCTAGAGGTACCACAATAGCAAATTATATTAGAGAACATGATACTGGCACAAAAACAGACACGTAGACCAGGTGAATGGAATAGAGAGCCTAGAAATAAACCCCCAAGGTACAGCTACTTAATTTTTGACAAAGCTGTAAAAACACACATTGGAAAAAAGGCAGCCTCCTTAACAAATATTGCTGGAAAAGCTGGATTTCCACATGTAGGAGAATGAAACTGGACCCATATCTCTCATCCTGCACAAAAATCAATTAA